GGGGGGGGGGGGATTGTCTATCAATTCATGAATGGATTAACAAAATGTGAGCTATCCATACAATGAGCACATGAGAATATACAATGGAATATTATTTGGCAATAGAAAGAAATGAAGTGTACTGATTTTGGTTGTGTAACATTGCTTTTTCTCCAATCACCCCCTACTTGCATCCAGGCCTTCCATCCAGGTGTGGTCAGGTATGAGTGGGACCAGGGCATTTTTACGCCTTGGCTTGTGTGAGCCACCATGGGGAGACAGGTTGAGCAGGTACTCAGCCAAGTGGTCCTTGCCTTCCTGAAGTAGGATCATGTCAATCAATAAGAAGAGCTGGGGGCTGAACCAGAATGAAGCTGGAGTCCTCTAGCCCCTGTTTTGGCAGGGTTCCTACTCAGGAATGGTCAGGGTGGAATCTTGAACTTTCTAAACAGGCCTATGTAACCCCTTATCCTGAACTTTACAGGAAAAGGAGAGGAGATGATGACCCAGAGGAGGTGAGAAAGAGCCTGAAATCTTGGAGGCTGTCCCAATTCTGGGAGATACCAGGTGCCTGGGGCAGAGCATCATCCAATACCTTGACTAGGGCCAGTTGCTGGGTGGCCACTGGCAAACTGTAAAGGGATATCAAAGCCGAACACATGACACAGGGTAGTTTCAAAGGAGACAGAGCCAGCCAATGGCTTGAGGACAACACTGCCATTGAAAGGTGGGTGCCAGCCCCCAATCTGCCTGGAGCAGCCAGGGCCTAGGCAAACAGGCCTCTTTCACTGCAGGATGAGCACACAGAGGTGACCCTCACAGCCCCATAGGCTGTGCAAGGTGGCATTGTGCTGCCAAGTCAGGGACAGTGGGCTGGGCCATGTGGGCTCCACCAGGAGGTTGATTTCAGGGCATTCACCCAGGGCATACCTGTGAGAGACTGAGACCAGGTATGCAGAGCTCAGGACCCCAAAGAGTCTTTAATCTGCTGGCTGAAGTGTCCCTAGATGGTCACATTGACAGCAGCCCAGTGACAACCCTGGACTTCAGCTTTGCTAAACCTTGGGGGAACAGGGCCCAGGCCTGTAGGAGGAGGGAGCTCCCACCCAACCAGACACTGCTTCAGACAGTGAGGGATGAAGTTTTCCCCAAAGGGAGGGCTGACCCCCCTCTGCAAACAGATGACACTAAGGCCAGGGTGGCTGCACTCCAGACAGCAGTTTTGCTGGATCTCCAGCTGGCACCTCTTTCTTTCTTGTGGGATGTCAGGCTGAATGAAAAAGCCAGGGGACAGGTGGTCAGCTTTTTGGAGAGCTGGTCCTAGGCCCAGTGCTTTAGCCAGAAGGTGATGCTGCTGATCCTGGACCCACCTCTGAAAGGTCTCCTAGGTCACCGCGGCCAAGACCCTAGGGTTTCCTCCCAGGACTTTGTGCTGCTTTTGCCCCCACCCAGTGATGTGCCTCGGTCCGGTGGGCTTCTCCAGACACAAGGTGCACCTCGGGGGACCAGCCCTAGAAGTTCTGGTGGTCTTGAACTCCAGCCCTGGCGCTTTCCCTGCAGGACATCGATGCAGTGTGACTTCCAGGTAGTCAGCGAGCTCCTGCAGAGGAGGCAGGAGTGCTGGGTGGGACGTGAGAAGCCCAGGGCCACCGGCCCAGCTAGCGGCAAAACTTGCAGGGAGCAGCACACAAGCCACCTTCTGCCCCTGTGGGTCACTGCCGCGGGCCCTTACTGGTGGTCGGGCCGTGGGCTCCTTGACCTGTCTGATTGCCTGAGTGATAAGCTACAGAAAGTGCTCAGTGTGGGGAGACAGGTCAGGCTGGAAGTCTGGGCATTCTGCAGGGATCTTCAGGCTGCTGCAGGCACATGGCAGCACCTCTCCCAATACCCTTCTTTGGAAGTGCGCACATCCCTTGCACTCACATTTCAGTGGAGAAAACTGTCATATACTTATTGTCTATTTTCTGCCTCCCCCTACTGACCTCCATGAACCTGGGCTTTTGTCCATTACTCAGGGCCGAGTCCTCAGCACATTTAATTATTCGAATAGGTACCTAATTCTCAGGCTAAAGTACTCAGATTCCTAGACCCCCTTCCACCTCCAG